AAAAAAAAAAAAAAAAAAAAAAAAAAAAAAAAAAAAAAAAAGATGTAGAATGGAAATTATACAACATAGGTAAAAATAAATAAATAAATAACACATTGAAACTGCCTGAGCTGCAGTCTCCATTTTTCTCAGTTTAATTTCCCTCCATTGATGAATCATTTAATCATTGATGAATAATTTGCAAAATATTTAGAGATTTTTGTTTAGAAGATAGACAATAAATTATTACTTTCTGTTTCCAGACTGCATTAAAGCAATTATAACTAGAATGCCTTATTTCACCCTTCCTTAAAGAGAGAATGACTATAAATGATCAGAGAAAGCAATGGTCAAAATTATGGAGGTGGTACTTGTAAGAGCAGATGGGAACAATGTGCAGGAAGGGAGAGCAAAGGAATGAGCCTAAAGAAATTGTAAGAACTGAAATTTACGAGAAAGGAAGGTCAGGTTCACCTGGCATGATTACAGCGTGGTAGCATGTGATCTCTGGAAAACTGAGGTGTTTAGGTGATATTGCTGTGGAGAAGATAAGAAGTGCAGCAGAATCTGGGCTGCTACATCCTGAATTGTACTAGTGGTAAGAAAAGCAGTCAAATGAAAGCTCGAAAGTTTGTTAAGTTAAGACTAAGGCTAGACTGTCAAAAAGATATGTGAGAGTAAAAGAATGTCAGTTTCTTTTTAGAAGACCATTATTTCATTTCTTTCCTTTCCACCACCCCCCAGTAATTCTTAAATGACTAACTTATTTCAGGTTTCAAAATGTTAGATTTTGCTAACTTCTTGTTTTGATAACAGGGATCTAGCTTTATTCGCTGCATCAAACCTAATTTAAAGATGACAAGTCACCATTTTGAAGGAGGACAGATCCTCTCCCAGCTTCAGTGTTCAGGTAGCATTTTCCTCTGTTTATTAATTTGGACATTATAGATTGACCAAAATTTGAAATATATGAGATGGAAGCTCTATTTCCTCGCTTTATAGTTGATTTCTAGAAGGTAGCTTGTTTATAACCACATGAACAGTTATTTAGATGTGCTGCAATTTGTTCTTTTTTTGTCAATAACATCCAGAGGAAATTGATCTTAGCAGCTGTAATGTCTGATCTTTGTAAGGAAAGTCACTCTAATGTCCATCAACTGTTTTTTTCCATTGATTTTAATTAGCTTTCCCAAAGATTATTTAGGAATTAAAAGTGCTGATATTGCTGTTCTCCGTAGGGTGGTTTTTGACAAAAGTACTTTCAATATTTATTTTTCCTCTTTTCTGTATTTTTGTATATATAGTGGCTTGAGTTCAATTTTTTTTTTTTTTGTCTTTCTGAAGTTGAGATGTTTCCAGGTTCTGCAGCTGGTATTTTGACTAGCCCACGTATTACCAGCACAAAAGCTTAACAATTTTTCAGCAGTTAGAATTCCACGTACAGTATTCATCAGTGGATTTCTTCAGGTTAATAACACTTGTCAGAAAAAAAAAACCCAAAAAACTCTCTTCTCCTTGCAGTTTTTTACAACAGCCTTACAAGTCCATTTTTCCACGTATGTGTCCATGTAAATTCCATTGCTAGAATTATGAAGCAGTGGACAAAACCTGGTATAGCCTGTGCTGCTTGAAGTGATTTGGAGCTTTTTTTCACTTTGTGTCTATGCTTTACTGATGCTCTAGGTAGGTACAGCTAAAATGTAGTAACAGGATTTGGATCATTAAAACTGCATCTTACCAGCTGATAACTAGTAATGCAAGAGCACAAAATGTCCTTGCACAGCATTTGCATTTTACACTGTATCTGTACCACATCTCAAAAATATCATTTGTGTGCTAAAAATAAAAGCCTGGTTGGGCGTCATTTCTTTCTTTCTTAAAAAATGAATTATAAAATGCCAAGTCTGCTAAAAAGGAAGAATGACCAGGAAAAAAATAATGCTCTCTATGACAGGATGTTGCTTACATCTCAGATAGGGAGAGGTTGTTCAGACTCTACTCACGTGTTCAGTGTTAACTTCTTGTGAATGATTGTATGTCAGAGGCTAAATTGAGTCCCAGCTGAAATTTTTGTTTGCGTCTCTGAACAGTCTCTCCGTTTTACTGATGCTCACTTTTGTGCACGTGTTTCTATGTATTTAGGAATGGTGTCTGTTCTGGATTTGATGCAAGGTGGTTTCCCTTCACGAGCTTCATTTCATGAACTATATAATATGTACAAGAAATATTTGCCTGAAAAATTGGCGCGACTGGATCCCAGACTCTTTTGCAAGGTAAGAGAGAAATTAATTCTTCTTTGCTATTACTTAAGATTGAAAATATACTGTTGTGTTATCTTGAAGGAGGCAAAATACCAACCTGTTTGCTGTTTTTCAGGCACTATTTAAAGCTTTGGGACTGAATGAAATTGATTACAAATTTGGGTTAACCAAGGTGTTTTTTAGACCTGGCAAGGTAAGGTTTCTCTTGTACTACTTGGATATGAATTGTAGAATAATTTGGATGGGAAGGGAGGAACTTCTAGAGGTGGTGTTATTCAGTGCCCTGCTGAAAGCTTGACCAACTAAAATAAGTTTGCCGAGGGTTGTTCATAAACACTATTCATAAATCTGTTCAAAAAAATCAGCACTAATGTTACTAGAAGTTGATTTCATAGTATCGTTGCTAATGCTGCTGTATTCCTGAAGCAATGATTATATGCCACACGTTGCCCAGATGCTGTACCAGTCACTTAAGATCATTTTGTTGAATATTTAAAGAGGAAATCAGAGCAAATGAATAATATTTTCTACTAAAATCATTGTAGATGAGATATGATTCTGAGCATTGCTGCTTCTGTGCAGAGAAAGAAGTAGAAAGCTATTTTAAATAGAAAGGAAAAACTATCGTAGTCCTAGAAGAATGCCCTCATTGTCTGATAAATGTGAAAAAGTAGAAGAGCAGGACTTTCAGAAAAGATTGACTTTAGTTGGACTCACAAAAATTAAAAACTGGGAAGTGCTTTCCCCCACATTACAGAGTTACAGGTGTCTTGTAGATGTGGAAGGTCAGAGTAAGTATTCAGGAAGTGGATAAACAAATTATTTTTTAAAAATTAAGCAATAAATATTTTTAATGACGATTAATTAATATAATTAATATATTATATTAATTAATATAAAATATATAATAATATATATATTGTAAAATGCAGTGTAGCAGATGAATTAAAAACAAAGCAGTACTTATTCCTGTTGTCGTTAAAGATGCCAGACATGCACACTCTTGAATTAATTGATAGCTAATATAATGGTGATGTTAAAAATATGTTACCATTTGAATTCAATGTGCTCTTTAGTAATAATATGTAACACTCTCTGTTCTCCTCATTTGTAAAACTGGTTTTGTATTTAGTTTGCAGAGTTTGATCAGATAATGAAGTCTGATCCAGATCACTTAGCAGAGCTAGTTAAAAGAGTGAATCACTGGCTCATCTGCAGTCGCTGGAAAAAAGTTCAATGGTGTTCTCTCTCAGTGATTAAACGTATGTATTTTATGTTGAACTAAAGTATTTGTTGAAAATATAACAAAGCAATTATAACCTCCATTAAATGTGGCCAAGAGCATGTATGGCAGGTGCTTCTGTACTGAGGTCTGACTAATTTGCTTTCAAGGCTGATGAGATTTTGTATCCTACGTGCTGGGACGTATAAGGGCTTCAAGCAAAGGTTTGTAAAAGTAGTGGTGGGTTGCATCCTCTAATCTCTGGTATCTGATATGCTTGGGTGCTCACTAATGTATGGGTAAACACCTGCTCAGAAGTAGCTAGCAGTCACAGGACTTGTGGACGAAGAGACTTTTATATCAGCTGGAAAGAGCAATAGCTGTACTCCCAGCTGACAATCTGGAAGGCACCTGCATAAAGGTTACCTCTAGACAAAAGCTGCAGGCTTGGAAGCACTGACATGCATAATGGAGCAAACATCTCCACTTGTGCAAATACTGTCAATAAAGCAAGTAAGTGCCCAGCACTACTGACAGGTAGTTTGTAAGTGCTTGGCCTGCTCAGCTTCTGGTGAGGAGTAGAACTAAAACAGTGAGAAATAAAGATTGGTGGTGGTAATGATTTTATTTGGGGATTTTTTTTTCTTTTATGCTGAATTATTACTGTGGGAGCCCTTATGGGGCTCCTCATTCAGGATTGTGAATTCTGTTGTCTGCTGTGTTTTATGTATTTGACCTGGCTCTCAAAGTACATGTAGTCTACATACTGTAGCTACAAGTATATGAGGAATATAGGAGTTGTGTTAAATTATTTAAACCATTGAGACTCAGTATCTCTTGTGTGTTTACAGTGAAAAATAAGATAAAATACCGAGCTAGTGCCTGCATCAAAATACAAAAGACTATTCGTATGTGGCTTTGCAAGAGAAAACACAAACCACGGTAAGAGGATATTCCTGGGTTGAAGAAAATGGATACTTTAATACATTTTTATGAATGTAAAAAAGAGATTGTTGTGGTTTAACCCAGCAAGTATCTAAGCACCACACATTCATTTGCCCACTCCACAATCCCAGTGGAATGGAGGAGAGAATTGGGAAAAACAAGAAAGAGGGATTCATGAGTTGAGATAAAAACTATTTACTGAGACAGAAAATGAAGAAGGGAAAAATAACAGTTTATATATATAAATATGTGTGTATATATATGTATATATATATATGTAATATGTATGTATATACACACACATATTTTTTTTTAAAAAGTAGAATGCACAGTGCAATTGCTGACTGCCTGCTGATTAATGTCCAGCCAGCTCTTGAGCAGCAGCTGTCCTCCAGGCCAATTCCCCTCAATTTTTAAACATTTATTTTACATGATGTTATATGATATAGAATATCCTTTTGGCCAGATTAGATCAACTGTCCTGGTTCTGTCCCCTCTCAGCTCCTTATGCCTCCAAGTTCCCCGCACTAGCAGGACATTACCAAAAGCTGAAAAACTGAAGTGACCTTGGCTTTGTTCAGCACTGCTCAGCAACAATTAACACACTGGTGTGTCACCAACATTGCATTTTTCCCTATACCAAAACACAGCATTGTACCAGACACTGTGAAGAAAATTAACTGTGTCCCAACTGAAACGAGTACAGAGGTGTACTATACATGACTAACTGTATCTGAAGCCCTAGAATGACGTCAAGTATGACGGAAGGAGACTCTGAGAGATGCTCTGTTCTACCTGTCTTTGTCAAGGATGAATAGCCTAAGTGACTTCATAGCCAAAATCAGAAATAAGAAAGACTTCATTTTTTTTGTAATGAGGCCCTGTCACAGCTGCCCAGAGAAGCTGTGGGTGCCCCATCTCTGGAGGCACTCAAGGCCAGGTTGAATGTGGCCCTGGGCAGCCTGACCTGGTGGTTGCTGTCATTGTCTATTACAGGGGGTTGGAACTAGATGGTGTTTCCAACTCAAGCCATATTATGGCTGTATGATTCTGTAAATCTGAGGATTTCTTAAGAGATATTTGTTTGGTTCTGTTCATAAAATCCTTTCATGGAAGTGTAATTATTGGGAGTACTTAGTTAAGTCTCTCTAACTGCAATTTAAACTCATGAATTTTTGCCCTTTACTCATAAATACCTTCCTTTATAGGTACATATATATATATATATATATATATATATATGTTTATCATAATAATTGTGTTCTATTCTGCCTCTTCTTTAAATCAAATAATTTCATTAGCTGTAATCTGATTGCATGGAATATTGATGGGGGAAAAAAAAAAGTAGTCATTAAGCATTGCTGACACCTTTTTCTCTTTGATAGAGATCTGGCTCTCTGTTCTTTATTAGGATTTCCTATAAAATATTCCTATAAAATAAAAAAAAGGGAAAAAAATAAAAATGAAGAAGAAACCCAAAAATGGAACAAATAAACAAACAAAAACAAAAAACCCAACCACTGATTCTTGCAATAAAAAAAAATCAGTTTTCCCATATGCTTAAAGACCTGGTCACTGATAATTGATATTAATGATGATTGTTAGTAAAAGGCTCCTTTGCTGTTCAGTTAGTTCATGTTGATAATGTTTGCATTTCAAGGTGGTGTACTCTATCTGAAAGCATAACTTGTCTTCCTGTTTACCTCTTTAATGTTGAATGGTAGTGGTAGTGTTAGAAATACAGACTTGTGAAAACATCTCAAATAAACTTCCTTACTTTCACAGCATTGATGGTCTGATAAAGGTCCGTACGCTGAAAAAGAGACTTGATAAGTTTAATGAAGTAGTAAGTGCTCTGAAAGAGGGGAAGGCAGAGACAAGCAAGCAGATCAAGGAGCTGGAGTATTCAATTGATGCTTCAATGACCAAAATTAAGGTATGATATTTATCAGGAAAACAGAAATCTTCTGAGAACTTAATTTAAAAGGTCAAAGTATTCAATTTTTTTACAGGAAAGACATTTAAATGTAGAAATATCTTTTTTTCGGGGACAGTAAAAACTACTAAATCCTGTTTAAATTATTTATGAATGTTACTGAAGTAATTGTGGATGTTATCACTGTTATCTGTGTTTCAAAATCGCCATTGGAAAATTTAAAGTATGAATTTATGTTGATCTTGTGAGATGGGTGTTGTTAGTAATTTACGTATTGCTTTTATTATTAATCAGGAGGGAAACCTAAAAACATCACAGAATGAGGAGGTTTATATTTCAGTGACGAGTTCTTTCAGACTTGGTTGTAAATGGAATTTAGTTTGTTGAATTTGCTTCTATATTCTCTTACCAGCAAAACTCACAGACAAAGTGATCAGAGGGCTGGAGCACTTCTCCTATGGAGAAGGGTTGAGGGAACAGGGCTTGTTTAGCTTGGAGAAGAGAAGGCTCTGGGGAGACCTCATTGTGGCCTTCCAGTACTTGAAGGGAGCATATGAACAAGAGGGGGAACGGCTGTTTACTAGGGTGGATTGTGATAGGACAAGGGGGAATGGTTGTATAGTACATGTGTAACTCAAAACTTTTCATTTCTCAAATGTAATATTTAAATACACATATTTTTTAAAGTGAATTACAAATGACAAATGCAAAGGAATATTATTGCCTCTTGTTATTATCATTTTGCAGACCACAATGATGACTAGGGAACAAATAATGAAAGAATATGATGCTTTAGTTAGAAGCTCAGAGCAGCTTCTGAGTGCACTGCAAAAGAAAAAACAGCAAGAGGAAGAAGCAGAGAGGTTACGACGCATCCAGGAGGAAATGGAAAAAGAAAGAAAGAGACGTGAAGAGGAAGAGCAAAGGAGAAGGAAGGAAGAAGAAGAAAGGCGTCTGTGAGTACTGAATAAGTTGTTGCTTTTAGAATAAGAATAGGAAAAGCTCAGGTTATTTTTATTATTACTTAAAGAGAGTTGCTTGAATTGTGTGTGTAGTGTGCTATTCATTGTTAAAGTATTTCCTCTCCCAGCAATTTTTTAAGTTAAGTGTAGTCAGAATAAAGTATTTAGAAGATTTTATGATGCAGCAATAATACAGATGGACTTGCAAAAGTCCTTGACTTAAATACAGGTCTTGTCATAACTGTACAGTCTTTGGATTGTCATTTAAATTTATGGGGGATGCTTTGATACTACTTGTTTGCTTGCATTTTTTTAATGACTTACTAAAAGTTTTTATTTCCTCTTTCTCTTTTCTAATAGGAAATCTGAGATTGAAGCAAAGAGAAAACAGGAAGAAGAAGAAAGGAAAAAGAGGGAAGAGGAAGAAAAGCGTATTCAGGTAATGTTTTAGCTGTGGTTTTGTTGATTTGTTTCTTTTGTTTTTAAATCTTTTTCACAGCTTACAATTTCCTCTGAGTCTAATGGCATTATTTTATAAATAGGTCTCAAAATTATACAGCAGTGTTGTATTTGATACACCGAATATAATCTGTCTACAAGTAGTGCAATAACGGAATTATAGCTACAAGAGGAAAAATACATAATCTAAATTCAGTTTTCAGATAAGAAAGAATGTGTATGTGATGAGACCCATAAAGAAGCTTCTGCTTGGGAAATGTTTGTATTAAGCACGTATATTTTCTCTGAGACATAAGAGAAGGTCAGAAGGATAATATTTAAAAGTTTACTATTACTAAAATTCTTTTGATAGTGTGTGCTGACATGGTTGAATGGGAATAGAGAGCACAATGAGTGGTGAGAAAAATTTGTGTGGCGTCTTACAATTGTAATAATGAGGAGAATAAAATAAAGCTTAAAAAAAAAAAAAAAAAGAGCTTAAATCTATAAGATTATCCTTCAGGAGTTCTAGGTCCCTGAATCTTCTTCAGAAACCTGCAGCAATTAAATAAAATTCAGATTAGGGAACGTTGAAGCTGGACTCATGTATGTCCAAAAGACCTGATAGGATGTGCCTGTGAGTGCTGAAGGAGCAGACCAATGTCACTTCAAAGCTACTTTTGATTATCTTTGAAAGCTCATGACAATCAGGGGAAGGTGTTGAGTTCAGGAAGAAGAGGTGTTAGCAATGTTCTTTAACCTTACCATTTAGGTCACTCTTTGGTCTCTCTTTTGGGTGGTTGTTGCTAAAATTGAATTCATTTTGTTTATCGTTTGTTACTCATATGTTTTCTGTTCACAGTAGTATTGTGTAATGATATGCATTCAGCTACTGATTGTGGTACATCATGTGCTACATTCTTGTGACTTGGGATATGAGTAATCATCATAATTCCTTAAAGAATATGGATTTTTTTTTTTAATTGAAAGCCTTCAAGCAGCTTAATACTGCTCAGCTTCTAGTGCGAACATTTCAAGAGAGGAAGCATGTGCTTATTGTAGAGAAATAACCTTTCAACTAGGCCTTAGCTGCAATGTGCTTGTGGTAGAGGAAAAGAGAAGAAAGGTGAACATTTACCATATATGTTAGGCCAGCTCTAAGTATTCTAGAGTTGAAACTAGTAACATATTCTGGTTGCTGTTCTGGAGTAAGACAAGATGTCTGCCCAAATCGGTGAAAACTGCTAAGAAAATGACAATCAAAGAAAATGTTATGCATAGAAATGACTGGGATTATTTACTGCATAGTACTCAAAAGTACTGCACAAAACTGCACAGAATTCTTGCATGATAATATGACAGCAAAGTCTAGGAATTTGGACTTATAGCATGTTACAAAACTTGTCCTAATGGTTCTTATCATTTTATCTTTATGAGGGAAATTCTGTAAGCAGTTAAAGCTTTCACTATCTAGTCATTTGCTTTGATAGTAAGCATAAGAGAAAATCATGATTAGAACATCCTGAGAAAAAACACCTGGTTCTAGTCTACATGCAAGTTCAGCTATACTGGACTGGAGGTGTACTTGTTTTTAAATGACTTTAAAAATTATTTTCCTTTTAAGTTAAAAATACATAACACTACAGAACTGTAGTGTGGAGTTATGAATTTTTGCAGATGTTGCATGCCAAGTACTTTTTTTATTTTTTATTTTTAAACTAGAAGTCACTGGTGGACTGAGGCTATGTTCAGTGTCAGCTTACCTGTAAACGTTTTCATAATACTGGTAGTAGTGAGAGGCTACAAGTAGCCTTTCAGCTACTTTTGTGTAAGATGTGTGCAGTTCAAATCCTGCTCCTTCTCCATCTGCCTTAATTCCTGACTCTTCTGACTTATCCTTGATATCATGAACTCTCATTCTGAGTTGTGTCAGAACCCTGATCTCCTTGTTTTCCTTAAAGATTCCACTGGCAACCTGAGCAGGGGGGAGTTTCAGAAAGAAAGCTTTCCTTTTGTGGCTACTGCAACAAGCACAGGGCAGTGGTTGCTGGTGAATACAGCCGCGTTTAAGTCCTGTCTGTGATTAATCAGAAACAGGATTTTTCTCCTTTTCTTTATTTCGTTACACTTAGAGTTAGCCAAGTGCTGCTTATCCTCCTGGTTTCTGCATACCCTTGCCACGTTTCTGCGTCTTCACCATCATTCCTGATGAGCATGTGTCTAGAACTACCACCAGCACTACAGCCTAACAGATGAAAAATGGGTCTTTGCTGTGTGGCTGTGTCTGTCACCAGTACTGGAATAGTAGGCAAGCAAATCTGGCTTTTAGAAGTTAAATGTAAAAAGGGAATAAGCTGCTGTTTAGCTAGTCTTGAAATGTAAAGGATGTGTCCACTCAGGAAGCAAACAGGACTCCTGGCAGAAAGTTTAAAAGTCTGGTCTGCCAGCACTTTGATCACAGTCTTTATTTGTGTTTCTGTTTCTGAGTTGTGGATATTTACAGAATGTAATTTACACTTAATGTTGCATTCGGATAGTAAGCAGACATACTATCCAGTAGGGCATTTCTTTCTTCTACATAGTTAATTATTCATTATCTTTCCTTCTTGTGGTAGTTACTATCAGATAATGTTTTTTCGTAGCAAAAAGTTACTGGTGTTGCTGTACTCCTTTTCTGGTGCAAATTTGTGATGCTGAGGGGGAAGTGACTTTGTGTCCTGTGTTGACTTTATGCCAAGAAAGGCAAAATTAACGTACACCAACGAGGGCACAACTAGCAGTTGGCATAGGTGACGTTTAGAACTTGGAATTGAATGGTCCACATTTTCTTATTATGTGTGCAAGACCCTTTGTTAAATAAAGATGGTAAGCTGGAATTGCAGCTTTGTTCTGCAGCGGTGTTATATTTGAATTATTTTTCCACCTCAGTAAGTAGAAATTTGGCAGTTCATTTAAATTCAAACCCAGACCAAGTCCACAGAGGATTCCAGTGTTCATCTCTTTTCAAAATAGGTCTTTCCCAGACCTATGTGCAAAGCAGTACCTGTTGCAATGTCTTACAGTGTTAAGTGCAGGATATCAAGGGATTATGGTATTAGTGATGTGAAGAAGAAATATGGGGCTCTGTATCATAAGAGTTTTAATGATTATAAATTATAGACAAATTTTAAGTATATTTTGTAATAAAATATATTTTTTTAAGGCTGTGATGTTTTTCTAAATAAAGAATGTTTTTTGGCACTTCAATCTGAATAGATATTACATTAATGATTTGATAAATTTTATGAGAATCTGGATAGCAGTCTGTAGCTGTTGTTTTTCTTGAGTCAAGCAAAAATACCAATACTGTTAACACCATTAATTCACTAAATTTAGTATCTGTTAAAGCTGTGAATATGCTAGGTGTATTTTTACTATTCATTTGCTTATGTAGTGTTTTGATTTGATGAGATTCAATGTATGTTTTTATATGTTTTCATGATACAGGCTGAAATTGAGGCTCAGCTAGCTAGAGAACGAGAAGAGGAAACCCAGCACCAGGCAATTCTTGAACAGGAACGTCGTGATCGTGAACTTGCAATGAGAATTGCCCAAACTGGAGCAGAACTCAGCACTGAAGAGACAAAGCTTGATGTAGGATTGTGCAGGTATGGAATTCAGTACTTAAATTTCTTTTCTTCTCACTGGCCTCATCCTTTGGAGAATACTAAGCTCTTGCTTATTTTATATATTTTTGTACTAGTTAAAGAGCTTCTCTGTTTTGCTTACTGCTATATCAGTAATTTAGTAGGTGTTTCTGAATAGAAATGCAGTTTTCTCTTATTTCTTGACTTTTGGCAAGAATGGCAACCATTTTAAGTTATGATTTTTATGAGCCATTTAAAGGAGGGAATGGAATTTCTTCAGTGGTAAGTGGTAATACTGTACTCTTTTTAGTACATTTAGTTCCAATAGTATATTATGAATCTGTGTGTTTTATTTTGCTTCATTTTCTTTTTTTAAATTTATTTTAACAAGAAGCCCTCTTTGAAGGCAGAAATAATAGTTATTTCTATGTCTTGTCTGGTAAGTGGTTTTTTTGGTTGGTTGTTTTTTTTTAAAGCAGATTGCATATATGTAATTTGGGTGGATTTGAAAATTAAATGTCTTCTGTTTGAATTTTTGGGTGTGTCGTAGGAATCCATATGTACAAATCCACACTGCCTGCAAAGCAAGATATCTCTTGCCTTCTGAAGAAGCTTTGTAGCCAGCAAATGTATGTGAGAATTTGGTGCAAAGATTCAATAAAAATGATACTGATTGGTCAAATTGTATGTAGAACCTACCAACGTGATCATGTCACTCGCTTAGTGATGTGACCACCTTTGTTGGTTTGTTGTAGTTGAAAGAAAGTTGTGTAAGAAATTTCAGGCTCCTAGATTTGTTCTCTTTGCTAATCAAATTTCATTTAGATGTGTACTTTTAATAGTTGTATGCCTATGTGTCATACCTAGATAGGGCTTTTTTGTTTTGTATGATGTTAATTTGTAGACACCTTGGCTCAAATTACTGTGGTTTTGTCCTCAGATTTTTTACAGCTGCTATCATATTGTCTCAGACATGACTTTAATAAGCTCAATTGAATATCCAGATTAAATGATTCCCAGACAGCATTCTGGATATTTTCAAGCTTTGCCCATGAAAGTAAACCTGAAATCATACAGTGTTACAACTTGGCAAATTTCTCTCAAAGGTGGAAGAAGGGAGGGATTGGTTAAGAAGGGCTCAGAGAATTCAGTAATTTTTTGAGGTCAGTGAAGCCTCATCTGCCACAGTATTTCCTTCTGCTTACAGGTGGTGCTAGCCATTTGTGTTGTGAAATCCAGGAATGGCTGGTAGACTAATCATATTGATACCTGAAACTGCTGCTTTCTCTCTACTGTGTAGTGGTCTGAGACTTTGAAATGATGAGAAAGTACAGAATGGTCTGAGCAAATTAACTTAGCAGTGTAAATCCTTTCTTGAGCAAGATTAGGTATAAATCTATTAACAAAAACAAAAAGTACTAGACACTTTTCTACCTGTGTGAATTTTCCTTTTATCTGTGTGGGCATGCCTTTCTGAAATCAAATCTCTTCATTGGTTTGAGTCAAACGTACAATTTAATCATTTAAACTTAAATCCTCAGGACTTATTTTAACTGATATCACTTAACATTTTACTGGAGTCTAAGAAGCTTGCGTTCAGGCATCTTCTGGATTAGAGACATACTACTACAGGATACATTGAAGTCACGGTGACTTTTATGTGTGTGCATTTCCTTTTCCTTTTAAATCTCAGGAGAGTGAGGTGCAGAGTGTATTACTGCATACTGAACTCATGCAGTGTACAGGCTCTGCAGTGGCTTCGCACCATTTTTTAAGTAAAAAATAAAATTAAAATAGTCATTCCAGCTTTACACATTGGCATGAGGAAAAGATTATTTCCTTCAGTGTTGTGCTACTGATAGTGTAAAATTAATAAGAGGAAGGTGACATCTGTGTACAAGTTGGAAGGTACATCTGCACTTTCCTCATTTTTTAAAGGACCTGTGACACTTATGTGTTGGCATGGTTGAAAATGGGTAGTCTCTGCCTTCCTTCTTTTTTTCTTCTCAACACTTTTTTTCATAGATATTTACAAGTTCAAAAGTATTAGTAGTTTCTTTTAGAAATATACTGACTGATTCCTCTTAAAGAATTGTGGTTTGTTAGGACAGCAGACTCAGCTTTTTATTCTTTACTGAGTGTGCTGGACTTCTCCTAGCTCCACCCATTTTTATTATTCATCCACAGTTTGCAAATATGTCTACAAGGGGTTTGCTGCACATTAATGAAGCTTACGTTAAGTGTTTGGCATTTGGATAAAAATCAATTAGGGACCTGATTTCATCTGTGCAGTGCATTTTGAGTTATGTCACTTAGTGAAACACGCATAACACAAAGCACCAAAAAAAGTTTGCTTCACAGAAGATCATGTGAATATATCTATTCTGTGTGAATTGTCCCAACTGTCCAAATAATTGTTGATTTGTAGCATATCTAACGCTATCACTTTTCTGTAAGTGTGGGAGGGCATCTTCACCGTGGCAGGTAGGTGCAGTGCTTTTCACAGCTTGCATGAAGAAACTGTCGTCTTTCCGGCTAAATAAGGATTGTTGTTATTTCTTGTAATGTGTTTATCCAGACATAAAATGAATAAGTAGTATGTCTCGTAATTTTTTTTTTTTAAATAAAACGATAAAACATAAAACAATGCTAAAGAAAAAAAGAAGAAAAGATGATAAATTATGGGAGTGTCTACCATGGCCCACCTCTTCCTGCTTCAGATTCTTAGAAAGATAACTAAGGCTAACAAAAGTATCTTCTGTTTGCAGAGCCAATGGAACAAAGCTGCAAATGACTGCGTATGGCACTTTTTCTCCATTTGAATACTTTAACAGAACAAAAGTAACAGTAATTAATTCAAAAGAAATTGATCTAGTCTTCCTGTTTACTAATACCTTGTAATAATCTTCATTAGAATGCATCTGTAAACTTTAAATCAACGTATCCCCTAATTGTCTAATAAACATGTTAATAACCTAACATCTATTTAAAGATCATAATTACTGTAATTTTTTTCCACATACAGCCATTTTTTCACAGCCTTATATGATTAATTTGCTCTTAACAAAGAATCATGTGTGTGTTATGCATTAGAATGGATATTATAAAATAAATTACTGTTTATTTTCTGTGTTTGAATCAACTTTGGCTTGGTTGGCAAAGACTATCACAGTTAATAAGGCTTTTTTATTTTAATATATTTGGTTTATGCTTATATGTCAATTTTTTTATAGGGAACAAATGGCCAAAGAAATGTCAGAAATGTTGTCTAGGTAGGTGAGAAGAAAATAATGAATAAATCATCTAATGGAAAGAAATCATATGTGAAATGTGTTAAAAAATAATGAATATGTTTTTAGGTGTTACGCAGATAAGTAAACAAGTTGTTTCAGATAAGTTTCCTTTATCAACACCTTTTTTATTAACAATCCTGATCTTTCAGTAATTTTTAGATGCTAATTTACTTGATTATATAAATAACAATTATAAAAAAGTTTCAGTACCCTTGTATTTTGTATAATTTTGAAAGGTTCATTCAGATCTCTTATCACTGCTCTTATGATAATAATAAAATACTAGGCTCTGCATCTTCAAAAGAAGAATTTCTGCAAATTGTTAAATTAAATTACTTGAAGTTAATATAACTTAATTTAATTGAAAATATTCCACCTATATTTTAATTCAAATAAAACCAGATGAGAAAATTGTGTTGTTGAAAGTATATTAAAACTCTCCTAAGACATGTAAACAAAATCTTCTGAGATTTCTTGGATGGTAGTACAAGGGTTTATGTACAATGCAGGAGTAAGGGAAGGATGTAGGTTTAGATCTAAATACAATTGTACTGCAACAGTCTAATAGTTGCAAGTGTTAGAATGGTTTTAATGACCTCTGTATTAGAGGGCAGTTAAGTGTTTGATGGATTGTGGGGATAAAAACAGTATCTTCTGTCATTACTTGCCTGATGTTTTACATCAGAAATAAAAATATTTGGAGTTGTAAACCAAAGCAGAATGCTATGTATGCATAGTCTGAAGATAAGATTGACTAAGCATAGAATCACAGAATGGCCTGAGCTGAAAAGGACCATAATGATCATCTAGTTTCAACCCTCCTGCCATGCGCAGGGTCGCCAACCACTATGACTAGTAGTTTACACAATGTGTAGCCATAATGTTGATAACTGTGAAAGCAGCTGCCATCTAAATTAATTTCTTGTGGTGTTCTTTTTTGAATGGGTGTAAACAGTGCTGCATTTAATTGTTAGACTGCAAATTTAGAGGGAGAGATTGTATTGCATGTATGGGCGCAGTTCCAGTGATGATGGCCAAACCTTAATATGCAAAACAATCTCGAAACTTTGACCAGATCAGAGGCATTGTGTTATGGTTGAATTAAAATTGCAGTGCTTTCTGCATGCTTATTTGGGTTAATGGTGGTTTTTTTTTTTTTTTTTTTTTTTTTTTTTTTTTCCTATTCACGTACTCAAAACTTTTGACTTGAGATTCTATGATGAAATCTACAAATGCTGTTTATGATACGTAATGTCAGCTTGAGTGGTGAAGAGTGACTGTCAAGCATGATTTTCCTCTTACTGACAAACTGTTACATGTAAAGTCATGCAGAACACCACATTGATCTGCAGAGTGCAAGGTAGTACTGTAATGGGGAAGCTAAGCCACTCAATTGGATTAGCATTCTTAAAGATTGCTGCTTTAACCAGAGATCTTATGGCCTCGTTCTGCTGCTCTAAATTGTGTTGCAAACACTTAGAGTGGTGGGTAGTGTTGCTAAAAAAGGAAAATCCTCAGGATTTGTCAAATCCTTTGTTCATCAAGGTTAGACGCCAGGTAGTGGAAATGGCATTTAGTAGCAATGCTTTAATGTTTTGGCCTACTGGCCATAACAAAATATTAAAACACATATTTTGAAAGGAATTGTCTGCTTAATGATTTTTTTTTACATTAATCATGAATGGTGCTGAGAATGAGGAAGTGTTATTGCCCCTTATCTCTGTACTGATAAAAAGACGTGGTAGATTTTCAGTCAAACTTCTTGTGTAAACTGGGAGCTGCGTGTTAACTCAGATTAATAGTGTGAGCAGGCATAATTAAACCGATGCTGCAATGAACACGAAGATTCTGTAGTTTTAATTACGTTTCAAGAGATGGTTCAGTTGCTATTAAGAAGAACATATGGCTAAACAGATGTTTTATTCTATAAAACTTAAATGCAATTTATTTTTCAGAACTGCTCTATCTATACAGAGAAAACTTCCACAGGCAATATATTTATATCCTCTTCACTAAAAAGGAAAAATACAGCATAAATATATAGCACATGACCAATGTGGTTTCTCATGAGAGGCCTTTAGATTTTACAGAGAAATAAACTTGAAATAATATTCATTGGTTTGTAAATGCTATAATAATAAAATAGCTCCACAAAGATACTGTGTCACCAACAGAATTTTACTAAAGAGATGTAGCTTCCACTGTTTCTTGTAAATTTGTAACTTAAAATGTTGCATCAGGGGTTTTGCTGCTCCATTAAAGATTTAATAATGTGTTCTGAATGAGTATCCTCAGAGCCTGAAAAGGAATTGCCTAATATTATTATTCATGGGCATTGGTAGAGGTTGGTAAAATCACGTTAAACACCAAGGAATTCAACAGCAGACACAAGTGTTCTGATCTTCACTGAGAGCTGTAGTGTTTCCATCTTGGTTTGTATTGTTATAATCCATGGGGCTGTTCCTACAGGAGTGTCGTTCCGCTCCTACCTATCTCATTTTTAAGATAAAATGGTATGGGCTATTTCAGGTTTATTTTTCTATGCATGTAACGTTTGTTCGTTCAATGGATGGTTTATTCATACTGCTAAGAAGTTGGAAATTTTAGTAATGGTTTCTCACATGCTGTTGACTTCCTTGTGCTGTACTGACGCGACAGATACCGTTTGCCTTTGAAACAGTTTCTGTTTGGGCCTTTTAATACTGGTCAGCGTTTCTTCAAAGAGGGGTTTTTATTCTTCAATGTCTCTGTAAATAATGTTTTTTTTTTTCCCTCTGCAGTCTAGCTATTGCTGTTCTTGGATAGTTGCAATAAAATAAGTATAGAATTAAATTGATTTCTCAAATTAAACTTCTGTCAGAAGCATGGAATATTTTTCTGGTTTTTGAACAAAGGTTTATACTTCAAGTCTTAAACAGCAGCACAAATGCTTTTTATGCCTTCTTGTCGACTTCAGAAAGTAGATAAGGAATTTTTCCTTCCTTGTCTGTTTTTATAATGGAACTGAAAATGCATATGGCTAATGTGTGTCTGTGTTCTGCATCTTGACCTAGTACCAAGGAACATGAGCGGGGATGTACATACATACAGATGCGTAGAATGTGTCTTCTTATGCATAAACACTAGATATTTATGGCAATTTCTCTTGATTTCTGGGCAGCTGACCAGATTATTCTTACAGAAAGATTTTGTACATAAAAAAATGCTTCCTCTTTTTTCTTAATACTTCGAGCATCATGAAAGTGATTTCTTAATTTCCTTCTGAATCAGTCCTGCTACTGCAAGAATGCAGCAGTGTTGCTCATGGGATCTGTTCCTACTGTTGTAGCAACTCCTATTCTATACTTACCTGTCCCTTAAAAAATACATTTATACTTAAACATGCTTGCTTGTTTTTTAATTTATTTTTTTTTGTTATTGTAGAGGTCCTGCAGTTCAAGCTACAAAAGCTGCTGCTGGTGCTAAGAAGCATGACCTGAGTAAATGGAAATATGCAGAGCTTCGTGATACCATCAACACATCTTGTGGTAGGTTTTTTCATTTGAGAGAAAAAGAAGTCAGATTGTAGTTGTATGAAAGGTGTTACATCCAATAATAAAGACTTGGTCATGAAGGTATGTAGGTTTGAATTAATGTCAAGTTAATTTCAAAATATTTTGTTTCTGTAAAGAGATTTGGCTTGCTGCTCTCTATACTGTGGAAACAGAAACTGCTTTGTTACCCTTTTTACTGATCTTATGTATATTAAGCTGTTTGGGCCATAAAATATGTCATAATTTCTTATAATTTCTCTTTTATGTAATTCAGAAAAGGGAATATTTACTAGGCTTTATCTAGAATTTGTGGGTTCTAACAACTCTTTTTTATGTTTTCTTTCTGTTAGCAAAAAGAATGTATAAAGCACAGTTTAAAATACTTTTTGGCTTGAATATTCAAATTATTCTTTGTTTTTGAAAAGGTTCAACAATTTGTGAAGCCCGTGATTGTAACATTAATTACATTTTCTCCGATTTTATGAAGATAGAAACAGATATGAGCTATTTCTTTATTAAATTTTAAAGTTTTTCTTACTTCTGATAGGAAGTATTGGTTAATTTCTGAGATTTAAGATGACTGAGAATTAATCCCTGGATGTAGAAAGAAATCCATCCTCTATATTTGTATTTGAACTCGCAAAGTTAGCTCCAAATTTTGTGTCTCTGTATTTACATATGCAGAATTGCAGTAATGTGTTTCAACTGAATAGCAGGTTCAGTAATGTAATATGTAAAGTAAAGTAATGTGGTGCTAGTGTATATTTATCTTTAATGAATGCAGTCCAGATCCTCTTAGATGACTAATGAAGAACTCTTGTGATTGTTCGGTCTTTAGTATCATGAAATTCAATAAAATTAAAATATCATTAATAAAGTAGGCAAAGAATTCAGGTGTCAAAGCAGAAGAGACTTCTACATGTAATCTAAAAAGAAATTTTTTTCAATTTCAGAAATAAATTTCAAGAATTTTTTTTTTTATTATTATTATTTTTTTTTATTTTATTTTATTTTTTTTTGCTTCTCCACTGCTTTTTTGCAATAATGTCAACAGGAAAATTCAGTAAATGAAAAATCACAACAGCAGCATTTCACTGCTACAAATCTCACAGTAAAACAGCTACTTTGAGCACTGCCATATTTCTAAAGACAAAAGGATATGTAGCACTGCAAGGGACTTTCTAGGCCATAAGATTAGGTCCCTGTTCCTGTAAAGAACAAGGTATATATGTTTAATACCATATCATTAATTAAAAGCTGTCCAAGAAAGTATTTTAAGAAATTATCCTTAGTTGTGGAAAATGTAGCTTTTAGCTACGTTTATAGTTAGAGCTCACAAAATTTCAGTTTCTTGCTATTATAATACAGTAATGCTATAGCCGGATCTAAAAATTGATGTACCAATCAATACAGAAAAGCATTTCATGAATCATTCCTCTGATTTTTTTCTTACTCCTCTCTTCCTTTCTTGCTTCTGAAACAGATATTGAACTACTGGCGGCTTGCAGAGAAGAGTTTCATCGAAGGCTAAAGGTGTATCATGCTTGGAAATCCAAGAACAAGAAACGCAATGCAGAAACAGAACAGCGTGCTCCCAAATCAGTCACAGACTATGGTGAGAAGAGATAATTTTGTGTTTATAATAATTTTTGAGAAAGCATTCCAGAGGAAATGTTTCTAAGATAATTTTCTTTTGTTATGTTGAAGGAGATGTTTTCCAGGAGTATTTTCATATTGAATTAGGGTGAATATTTTGAAAAGTTTGAAACTGGCAAATACTTTGCAGAAGATGGAATACTTTCTGAAAATGAAAATACATATGTACTCAATAACAACTCGCATTTGTTAAAAATCAAAAACAATTCTTGATTTGGTAGTGCATTTACTGGCATTTTTGTGAAACATTCATTGCTGTGCTGTGCAAGACTAAAGGTAGATTTTCCATTTATGAAGCTCCAGTTTGCATTTTGAGATTTTTGAGACTTTGTTTTGAAGATTGTTTTCACTAATTCTGACCTTTGTAGATAAAATACTGCTTTCAGTGAGAGTACTGTTAGGTATAATTCTGAACTATCTTTAAGGGTAGATTAGAGATTCTAAACACTGTCCTGTGTGTCATAAGTAGTCCAATAGTCTGAGTAGTTTACTGGGGCTAGGAAAAAAAAAAGCAAGATAGAAAGGAATCTTGTTCTATGTAATGGTACTATTACACTTAGGATCCAGACAAAACAAAACACCGTGGTGGTTTCTCACGCTTTTATCATTTCTTAAGATGTGAATAGGCACTTAGGGAAGTTTTTAGAAGGAGCAAATTATTTCCTCATCTAAGTTGTTCTAAACCTTACATATTTAAAATTACATTTTCCTTTCATGAATTCTACAAATACTGCATTTTTTGATTATAGGTTGACAAATATTGCATGGCTTCTGCTTTTATATTACTGTTGTTTTGCTTTTTTCATAGATAGGTGCTTATTTGCCAAAGCAAAGTGCTAATGAAAGTCAGTGACTGGTTTTCAAATTCAGTGAGAATATGTAGTATTTAACATGTGTGTAACTGCCAAATCTGAAAATTAGGTGTCCAGTTTCTGGAGTGATTTAAATTTGGTACTAGTGATTTGGTTTTGTTTTTCCAACAATCATCTGTTATAATAGGAACCTAAGAAATGAACAGAAATACAACAAATTGATAGAATAATTCAGCGAGGTCTTTCTTCCCATCCTTTGATCTTGGTTTCAGTGGGAGTAGAAGAGGAAATAGCAGATGAGGAGATGATGTTTTTTGAGTCCCATTAGCCCTGGTACAGAGCTTGGTCTTGGAACATGGGGAATGTAGATCCCAGCTACACTCTTTATTCCCAGTTCAGTCATTACACAATAATACTTCCTTTCTTTTGATTCATTTTGTAAGCTAGGCATTACTTGAGTATTTCCTGAGAGTCTGGGCTTTTCAGAGAACTTTGGTTCCCTGGAGAGAGAGGAGGGGAGATCTGAACTTCTGGAAAAGACCATATCAAAGGCTGGGTTCTTGTAGTAATACTGCTGTAAGTGCTTATGAAAGCTAATGAATAAAACATTATGAAAAGGCATTTCCAGTATGTATATGAGGTTGCAAGTTGCTTTGAATTTCAACTCGGGAAATTTATTTGGAACTGAATGGGTAGTAAGTACTCTTCTGTTATGTTGTTAATGGGAAATTTTAAAGAGCAGAAAATCTTAGGACTTCCGCAAATAAAGTTTGGGATATTTATATTCTCATCACATCTCATCCCAGAAGTCTGGGAATTAATTTGTTTTTAATTTTTTTTAATTTTAATTTTTTTATTTTTTGTAACAGAAATACGAAAAATTACAAGTACTGTGTTAATTCTGAGGGCATTTGTTGCAGTCTGCATTGATGTATTCATACAGTGTGGCAAAGTAATCAATTTCTAAATTAAATCTTGATGAAACTAGAATCAATTAGATATCTATTAAACTTGAACAAAGGAGACATTATTTATGTCAGTAAGCAGAAAATAAATAGAAATAGCTCAACGTATACCTTTTTAGTTAGAATTTCTGTTTATCTAATATCATCATTGGTGAAAAATAAGGTAATGAAACTGTAATTTAAAAAGGTCAGCACTACGGTATTTTGTTCAACATGTAATATTTGTTTACAGATTTTGCACCATTTTTGAACAACTCAAGTAAGTGGGGAGGTGGTTACTTAAGCTAACTTTAAAGATTAGGAACACTCAAGAGCTCTGTACTAACATTGTTTAATCCAGTGTTTTGCTACACATCTACGTGGAATTTAATTGTTCAAGTAAAATGCTATTTAACTATTTTGCAATTATATTCAACTGTTGGTTATTATGTGGTATTGTAATAACTTACTAATGTACTTTGCTGTTTATTTTATGAGATCCTTTCCCATTTCAACTATGATAAGAAGGGAGAGTGATGTACGCTACTTGAGGAGATAACAATTTTTTTTTCCAAAATAAGTGAATTTTTTTTTTAAATAGCATTTTTTACTGTCTGCATTTTTATTTTTTTTATTTTTTTATTTTTTTTTGGTAGCAAAACTCTGGAATCAAATTAATTATAACAGCTGTTTTCCTAGCACACTAACTGTCAGGTGGTGGTTTTGTTTGAGTAAAGAGCTACTTTCCATAGTGCTGAAAGTTAGTTCGTTACTGGCTATTTAGCATTTCCAGCTTCTAGATTTCCTCTTGAATTTAAGTATGCAAAGGGTTAGAAATAAGTCTTAGGAAATACTGTTACATTACAAAAAGTGTTTGACAATACTAAAGCACTGATCTTTAGTATGGTGTTCAAATGATATTGTTAGATGTTCAGACAGTTTGCTATGTACTATAGCCTCTATCCCCATATAAAACACGTGCTTTTTCAGTTTTAGTATATAAATATATTCTATTAAATATATTTTTGTACTCTTGTTTATGTAGGCATGGGCAACAAAATTGGGGGCATAATTTGTATAATACATTTCTGTTCAAAATTCCACTCTTTGCATTTAGAAATACTCAGATTCAAACGAAAGTAATATAATTAATTTTGAGGTACACTTGTAGTCTGTCAGTCCTGTACTTAAATATAAAAATGCATTATTAGAGGTGATGAATAACGTTTTGCAGGAGCAGTTATTGAAGGAAATGATCTTATTTACAAGAGCATCTACTATTTAAAACCGATTTATATTGTATACATAACATTAAGAAGGTTGATCCATTGGTACATTAATGTAGATTATTTGCTTTTGTTCAAAAGAAAGTTTTTCTCCTGAGTCTGAAATATAAGTGTGTGTGACTCCAAAAACACACATGACAAATGTTTATCAAGAACCTATTCCCTGGAGAAGTTCAGTCAGTCGACTTTAATGGACAGATATAACCAGTTGCTTTGAAAAAGAAAGCATCTGGAGTTCAGTATGCAGCAGTCTAGGCAGTTGTTTTTGAGGACTATTTAGTGTAATAAGTGGTTATTTATCAAATTCTATTAACAAATTAGTGATTTCTAACAGTGTTACGCACCCTTGTTTGTCAAAAGTCTTTGAGTGGTGCTTTGTGTTCTTGTAACTGAAAATGCTGTTTTGCACAGTGACCTTATTTAACAAAGAAATAGACTGATCGGGAGCAGCTACTGATTTATGTTTCTCGTTGGTAAGAAATTTTACATAGAAATTTATACTTTCAATACTAATTTAAAGCAGAATATGGTATTTTATTTACTTTTGTCTAAAATTACCTGAGGCCACTGATCAATTGTTTTACATGTAGGTATAATAGTTAAAATGAACATTTCTTCACTAGTGCTGTAGTCAGAGTAGTTGGAAGAATGCACGTTATATGAGATGGCAAGGCTTTAGGTTTGATGAGACTTGTATTCGGAGAGACTTTCCCGTTTTTGTTTTGTTTTGTTTTGGTAACTAATTTAGCAAGTCATTAATGTTCGTTTGATTATTTTTTCTTGCTTATTTTTTGCTTTTGTTTTGTGTAATAGCTCAACAGAACCCAACAGCTCAGCTACCAATGAGGCAGCAGGAGATTGAAATAAATAGACAACAGCGTTACTTCCGCATTCCCTTCATCCGTCCCATGGACCAATATAAAGATCCCCAAAACAAGAAGAAGGGTTGGTGGTATGCACATTTTGATGGGCCATGGATTGCTCGACAGATGGAACTTCATCCTGACAAGGCACCCATTCTCCTTGTAGCTGGTTGGTATCAAAAGCAGAGTTCAGTTGGGAAGCTTCAGAGTTGACAACTTATTTTAGAAAAAAAGTCAGATGATGAAAGTTTTCCTAGTTGCAACCTCATCAGCAGTTCATGTCTGGGCAGAATTTGAAGATCTGTGACTTCTGTTGATGGTGGCCAAATGTCATGGAATATTATGTAGGTGGTAGCTGGTGCTTTTACAATGTTTGTGTTGCCTGCTATGAAAGATTCGGAATTTAATCTTAAATATTTGAAATAAAAGCTAGATGTAGCAATGGATGGTTAATTGTAGACCTGTTGGAAGTGACCTTAAAGACCATCCAGTTCTTAGGGCTGCATCCAACCTGGCCTTCAACTCTTCTAGGGATGGGACATCCATGGCTTCTCTTAAGCAACCTATCCCAGTGCCCTCATAGTGAACATATTTTTCCTTTTATCTAATCTAAATCTACCCTCTTCTGGTTTAAATCCATTAACCCTTGTCCTATTGCTATATTCCCTGACAAAGAGTCTCTCTCCACCTTTCCTGTAGGTCCCTTTAGGTACTGGAAGGCTGCTATAGGTTTCCCCACCGCCTCCTCCTGGCTGAACCAACCCAAAGCATCATCCTATCTTCATAGGAGAAGTGCTTCAGCCCTCTGGTCACCCTCACAGCTTTCCTCTGGACCTGCTCTAGAAGGTCCATGTCTTTCTTACAGTGGGGCCCCAGTGCTGGATGCAGTACTCAAGGTGGAGCCTTATAAGAGCATAGAAGCAAGGGAGAATCACCTCCTTGAAGTTTCCAGTTACGCTTTTTTAATGCAGCCTGTGATACTGTTGGCTTTCTTGCATCTTCTTTTTCTGGTGGATAATGCAAAGGGCAAAAAATGTTGGTTTACAGTTCAGTGTTTTGAGTTCTTGTCTTTGACTTCAGAACTGATGAGAAGGCCATAATCCATTTGTTTAGTTTTACAAATTGATGCTTTAGTAGCAACCAAACTTCCTTGGTTTTCTACTAATTATTTTTAATGTAATTATAATTATACCAGCTTTCGTCTGTTCAGTTTCAAAGCCCTTATCTAAAAGTAGCAGTGCTGTCATGAATACCACATTCAATGGATCACCTATGAAAAATAAGATCAAAATACAGCTGGTGAACTGCACTCATCACTTCATTGGATTCCATGTGGGCAGTACCATCTGTACTTCCAGTTTGTTTAGCATGGGAGGCTGACAGATTAAGGGTACAGGCAATTCGATCAAGTCTTAAGTTCCAAGTCACTTTACTTTGTTTAAAAACAAAACTATAACAACAGTTGACTGCAAAACCGTGTGTATGTGCAAAACAAATTCATCCTGTAGTGGATTTCAAGAGAGTATATTGAGATGCTGATCTTTCTTGGCATTCCTCTTTGTTTGATTTTTTTTTTTTTTAATCACAATTTTGTCAGTTTCAGCACCTGAAAGTAGTTTATTCTGATGTTGCTTTTCTGTCCTGTGAGTAGAAATCTGTCTGAAGACTGGTTCCCTTATAAGCTATGAAGTCTATTAACAAACCAGAGTTTGACAGAGGGAATCTAATTAATGAAGATACGAATTTTGCTAATGCGACCTTGGAATGATGTAAAAATTTTCTAAAGATTTTTCTTTCTTCCTCTACATTTTCAGGTAAGGATGATATGGATATGTGTGAGCTTAATCTTGAAGAGACTGGCTTAACTCGAAAGCGAGGTGCTGAAATTTTGCCGAGACAGTTTGAGGAAATTTGGGAGCGCTGTGGAGGTATTCAGTACCTGCAAAATGCAATTGAAAGCAGACAAGCTCGTCCTACGTATGCTACAGCTATGCTGCAGAACCTGTTGAAATAAATGTTCATTTTGCACAGTAGCATTCATGATGAGAACCCTTGCCCGTGATACAAAGGGAAGAGCTCCTCTGTGCAACAGAGGATGTAATGTTCGTTAATCGTATTAGAGATGTTTAATATAAAGTGAACAGATTTTATTAATCATGTGGTTTGTTAATTTGTACTCTATTATGTTTAATTTGTGTAGTCAGCTTTACTAGGTATGAGGACCCTGAAGAATTTTCAGTCAGTGTAGGTTGTAGCATTATGTTTATACACTGCATTTTTCTTAGCAGTTTCTGTTACAACACTTAACACCTTTAAACGATCTATCAGTAGTTGGGTACATAGTACAAAGAACAGCATTGCAACCATTGTTTTATAAAATTCCCTCTTCAAAATACTAAATAGTGGGCTTTAAGTGGTGGACTAGTAAACAGTATATGCTGTATCTCATAACTGGAATTGTGGGGCCTTAGCTTTGACTTCTGTTCTGAAGAAGTTGGAGTGTACTTTTATATAATCTGAGATATTTTATGTCCTGATTTGAAAAGTGGTTAGTGTCTGTTTTTACTAACTTTTTCTGAAAGTGATGGGAAATCCTTCTATACTTGAGACTCATAACTTCCTACTGTTTCTGTTACTGTTCTGTTACTATTCCTACTGTATTCTCTGTTTTGTTTCTTACTGTTATTCTCTATTTTTTTCTGTGCATTCTGAGAATTCATGTGTGTCAATATTGAGTAATGTTGTACACAAAGAATGTACTGCTTATTACACCTTATACCACATATTTCTGTTTCTTTTTTTTTTTTTTCCTTTAAATACAAATCTCATTTTTTGGACCAAATTTCTCTTCAGAAAATATGTCCATTCTTGGACAACTAACTTATCCATGTAATATAATTTAAATATAGCATGCAAAACTGTCCAAGACTTGTATCTGGAGGCAGATAAGGATAGCATAAGGGAAATCTGGTCAGCTTCTGGATGGTAATGTAACTTAACTGAACACTGAGACCTGTTTATTTTAATTGTAATGAGATGCACAAAGTCTGTACCTTTGGCTAGATAAAAGTTTGGCCAGTAACATAATGCATCATCTACATGCTGACGAATTAGCTACAATTTTTAGTATACTAGACTATTGCAGTCATTCAGACACTGATCTTTATCTTGATCTCCTTTGTCAGTGTCCTAGTTTGTAACAGTTGCTTAATTAAGCAGTGAGAGATTTGGTGGATAGGAATTACTAATTTCATTCAGTTTCAAGATGGATCCCATCTACTGATGTGATTATTTCACCAGGCTGGACATTATTTCAACGAAGTAGGTGTAGCTATATATTATTTCACTGTTAAGAATTGGAAATATAAATAACTTGTTGTCCCATTACTTATTCAACCTGATACAAAAATGAAATCTTGCTCTACAAACTGACAGCTTGCTCACAGTACAAAATAATTTCCTTTCAGTTTACTGTGTTTGAAACCTTTTGAAAAATGTTTATAAACTTTAGTGTATAATTACATAAATAGATAAAAGTCATTAATGACTTCCAAGAGATACATTTTTGTAGCACAGACAGAGAAAGCTCGTGATGCGTGTGTCCTCGCTGATCGTAAATTATGCTTGCCTGCCTATGTCTAATTATTATTACAAACGCACTCCTTACTGTAATACATGTGAAGGCATTTGAGGAATACATTAACTCTGTATGAATTGGCCACATCAGGGAACTTCAACTTCCATTGCATAATCATTCTGCTTTTTGATCACATGATTACAAACTGGCAAATGTGTTTTCGTTTTACTGAAAATGCCCTCTAAGCTGAAGCAGTAATTTTTGGCTGGAAGATGATAGGAGAATTGACTAGCAAGTTGTGTGCAGATCTGTACAACGTTACATGACTTTCAAGGCACTTCTTATGAAGCATTATTGAATTGGAATGAAGGTTTCAGAACTTCCAGTCTCCAAAAACTTAAAACTGCAAAAGCTTTGACGTTATATTTGACACAAGGAAAAGAAAATCAGTGAATTGATAGGGCTGAGAAGCCCTGTCTTACATTTTACTATCCGGATTTAAATTCCCGTTCAGGCTCAGATTATATATATAGAGCAGATCTTAACAAGACTGAACACTAAGCAAAGAACCTCAGTACTTAAAGTGTGTGTGTGTGTACACATATATATACTTAAAAGCTTAAGTATATATATGTGTATGTATGTATACGTATCTGTAAACATAACTGTGGGGAACTCTAAATAAAATCGTTAACTTAATTTTTCCAGTCTGTTCCTTTCATTATGCCAGTATCTCCTTGACTGAGGCTGTTTCTTGACAGCAAGTTGCCTACAGACTGGTATTGGAAGGAAACTTTATTTTCCTGACTTGAGTGTATGGGAATTTGTGTTAGTTATATGATAAACAAATATTAGGTATTGGACTATAAAATAGTGGAGGAGGAACTGGTGGCTGGATGTTTAGACGTTCCCCATCTCTGCACTGGTTGAGCAGTGTGCTTGAGAAGATACATTCCATAAATCAGGGTATTCTAGTTTGCACAGTAGCACACCTCTGTTCATTCTGTATCAAAACAACACAATTTTAGTTTTTGTCAATCTTTTTGTGCAACAAATTTTTCTTGTTGTTGTTCTCTTTTTTTTTTTTTTTTTTTTTTTTTTTCAAATGAGAAATATTCATCTACTTCTCCAGCTTTTCTCTGTTGTCTCATCTACTGTGTCAGATTGTGATACTGTTGGATGGTTTGGCACCAGTCTCTGGTCTTAAGGATTGTGCTGTTATCTAATGCCCTTCTGATCTACAGCTCTAGGGAATAGAAAAAAAAGTTGTTTTTGAAGGAAAATGAGGTTCTGTGTGTCTCATTTATATAAACGTTTCCTCATCCCTGTCAGTGCAGCTGCCCATTATAGTTGAGAACTTCATGAAACACTCCAGAAAATAAGGAGAGGAAGAGAATCACTGGGCTACATTCCTGACTAAGTACCAGTGTAGAGAGTGCTACTCAAGGATCATAAGGTCATTACATACTTGCCTATTTGCCACCTTTGCCACTGTTGAGATTGGTTTTCTTTTTGTCACTGAAGCCCTTGTTTGGTTGTTTTTTGTTTTTTTTTTTTCCTGTTGTTTTTTTTTTTTCCCCCAAAAATATTTTTAAAGTATTTAAATGACCTCCTAATACTGTACTGAAAATCTAAAAAATAAAATACATTCCACGTTGAAACCTCACTTGCATGTCTCTTATTTTAAAAAATTTAAGTGGAGTAAGTAAGGGTAAATTATGATATGAGAAAGATGGAAAGACTTCTGTGCTAAATCCTGTATCCTTGTATTGCAATTGTTTTTCAAACCTTTGTTGCTTTACCACAAGAGCTTTATTGTAATCAGTGCAAATATTGTTTTCTATGGTATTTACCATTTGCATCTGCTTCATTTTCTTAACAGTGACTAGTGGAACTATTTAGGATGTGCTGAGTTTATATGCTGCGAGAGTTTTGGAGTTGAAGAAAAAAGAAGGAAAGGCTTCAAACTTGCCTCTTTCAAGGGCCAAATCAGAGTATTATTTTTCAGTTCAATACAGTTCAAGTAATTCAGGCTTTGAACGTTTTTAGGTATAACTTTGTGTCAATACTTTTTTGCTATGGTTGGAACTACAGTTAAAGTACAGTTTAACATCACATTTAAAATGATGTGATGCACCTTAGTGTGAGATTAAATACCAGTTCAATCCCAGCAAAATTTTCAAGGAGATGGTTTTATTATAATTTATTGAAATACAAAAGGCTTACATCCAGCAAATATATTTGGTAATTAATAGTTAAGAGTGATAAATACATACATGAATAATGATTATTAAAGTACACAACTTAAAATTACTTATTTTTTAAGCTAATGATAATGGGTATGGGGAGAGATATGCTAAACACATACAAAAATACATTTGTAATGAAAAAAAAAAGGAAAGAATGCCTTCAGCATTCTTAATGCATCTTAACTTATGTGAGCAATTGTAAAAAGCTAACACTGCTGGCATGGGTGATGTCCCATGCAACGTAAGAAGTATTTTTAAAGTGAGCTTTTTAATGAAGGTACTGTGTAAAACGGCATCTTTAGTGGTTTGTTTTGTTTTAAAGTATTTCCTAGTGAAACAGAGGAAGTTGAAATACAATTTCAGCTGTAGAATCCTAGAGTTGTTTCCTTGGTGCATTGCTTTCATTTGTACATAATCATCAGTTCTGCTGGTTTTGCAAGGAGACCTGTTTGTGCAGTTATTTGGGATTTATAAACACTGGCAAGGGCGTGTAAGAAGGTAAAATTCATTCTTCGTTGTGGTAACTGTGTGGTACTGAAAGCTAGAAAGATTTACAACAGAAATCAGCTACTGTCCTGAATACATGTAGGTTTCACATCTGAATGAGGAGCTGTCATCCACTATAGCCATGAACTTTTTAGAAGCTCACTTTCAGCTGTAAATACAACTTCAGATTTGTGCCAGGTGCCAAACAGTGCCTGAATGTAATACAACACTGGCAGGGCACGTATATTTGCATATACTCAAGAAAAAGGTGTTCAAGGTAAAGTAATGCTCCTGTTTGAGTCAGGATTATGGATTCATAGAGCATGAATTGTTAAGCCTATTCAATAATTAATGGCCTCTCATCCTCTGCCAAGATATCTTCTAGAGAAACTAAGAGTAACCTCTCGATATGATTGGTATGTACTGAGTTTAAAGTGTGTTTGTGCGTGACTGTAACTTATTCCCTAGGTAGCTGGGAATGTGAATCACATGCTCTTAAAGGATGAAGAAAACTACAAGCACTTCACCTATTCAGAAAGTTTGAAGTCTTAGGATTAGACAGTTGGCCTGAGCTCTTTGGAAGCCGACTGGACGTGGCCCTGGGCACCCTGCTCTGGGTGTCCCTGCTTGTGTGGGGGTTGGGCCGGGTGAACCAAAGGTCCCTGTCAACCTCAGTTGTGATGGGATTCCATCACCAGGAATTAACTAGTGAAGTGTATATGTATACATTATGCTTTAAGTGACAGAGACATAAGAATCTTAAATTCAGGGAAGCTCTTAAAAATAACTACAACTTCTGTGTGATTTCTGGCCTGTGTGTTACAGGGAGAGGATGAAAATGTTCCCGAATGCTTTTAATGTAGCCTTTGGTAAGAGGTAAGAACGTTACTAGTGACAGCTCTTATTTCCACGTTTGCCACTTGCTTTGCTTTAGTGTGTGTAAGAAAGGTTAATAAAATAGTGTAGGTCTGCTTTAAAGTTTTGTCTGTTCTTCCAGGCTGATTGTAATGATACAGTATTGCAAAAAATGTCATTTCTGAGCAAAAGCTGTTGCTAGCACTAGGCTCTTACAAATAGCATTAAGATATGTACATACTGTATGCTTAATGCATGCACCTTATCACAGGTTACTTCTTACCAGTCAAGTTTTAGACATGGTCACACAGTTGAGCAATAAGGTCGAGCTGTTTTTCTGTAATGACACGATGTGTTTAATGTGTACTGATGTTAAAGAGAAAGTGATGCATCTTTAGGAATCCTCAGATTTTTTGTTATGCATTGTCCACCTGAACTCCAGTCTTGAATAATGCGGACCTCCTTATTCTGAATACCTGTAGAAGAAATTCTCATAAGACATTCAGAAGCATTTTGAATTTCAAAATACATAATTTAACTACTGTTCAAAGCAAAGAACTCAAATCTTTTGAGATCATCTCTAGTTCCTTCTAAAGAGAATTAAGTTGATCCTACACCTGAAACTATTTTACATACTAAATCATTGAGAAGAATTATGATTTTTCCTCCCTGGTGTGACAATGCTGTGTTTCTGTGTGAATAACAAATACTGACTATGTCATCGTAATTTGAAGAGCATACTTGTGAGCATTTTTTCAGTGCTTGGAGCATCTTCTTGTGCTGCAAAAGAACCCATAGCTACAGGGCCTAGGATTCACAATTACAGCATGCTTGGAGTAAATTATAATTTGGAATGTTTAGATTCTCAGCCTCAGTTTGGTGTAAGAGCAGCAGCATTGCTGAGCAAACTCACACATTTGTGAAACCTGATGTCTGTTACTCGTGAACTAAAATGCCAGCTCATCCATCCCTGTGGTGCTTCAGGTCGTCTCGTGGTTGCGATAATGAAACACTGACCTGTGATATTGATGGGGAGCTCCAACTTGCAGTGCTGTCTTATCATTTTAATCCAAAATACTGTTTGCTTGATTGTCCAAGTGACTGACATGAGAATAAAATAAATGGCAGTCTTTGTTTTCTTCTCAAATATGATTTCAGTCATCTTGGTGGCTGAGAGTGACTCTTGCAGAGGGTGATGCTGCATGATAGTCACTGGTTTTGATGAGCAAAGAATGACATTTTGTATGTTTCTGAGGGGAAATCTATAATGGCTATTAAGCTTGATCTGCACTGCATCAAAATAAGTCATCTGTATCCATGCGAATTAGATTTAGTATCATCTTTTCTTTCGTCCTTGGGGTTAGATCCATTACTGAATTTTGCCAGATAACACTTTGAAAATGAAGCTTATTTACCCCAAATGCGTGTAAGAGCACAAATAAATGACACGTTGATAGAATAGCATTTGACAGATCAATTGCAAAATAAGAGATGTTACAGACAGCTGGAGGTAATGCTCCTCCAGCTGAAAGCAGTATCTTACTTTTCAGCAGCCTTTTGGCTGAACAGAGAAGATCCAGCAGCATCCCTGATAGGGACAGGAGATATCACAAGAGAAATTTTGCATTTTGAATGAGCTCATGTTTTCAACTTTCATCTCTAAGGAACGAGGAGCATGTGCCACGCTGAGGTAGGCAGCAGAGAAATCAAGGTGGCAGGATCACTTTCTCAGGACATCTGCTGCTTCAGTCTGAAGGGGCCTATCCTCTGGAATGCATACATTGTAGCTTGTCGCATTCTGCTTTGACTCACAATTCTTTTCTTTTTCACATGACTGCTTGCTGAGCAAGACAGGCAGCGTTCCCAGAGGCTAACCATGCACAGTGCTGTCTGTCATTGTCACCCGCTTGCAAGAATTTGTTCTCTTCTGAGCTTAGAAAAGGATGAACCAGTTCTTCACAGAGACATGAAATGTATTTCTTACACATTGCAATGCAAAGCAAAACAAAATTATAAAATTGCCATTTTCAGTTTGGCATAAAAATTCTAGATATCCATCTCTCCCTGAAAATTTGATTGGAGTAACACATTCTGTTCTAAAATCCTGTCCTCAAAGGAGTTGGGAAGTGACATAGAAGTTTTGCTCTTAGTTTCAGCTCACAAAAGCTGTGTTCTACATCTATTTTTCCTCCCCTTTCTCTGTCATCTTTTTCCCAGTTGTTAAAGGCATATTTTACCAAAAGCCTCTGACGTGCATACTCATTTTTGAACTTTACTTGTGAAAAATGGCCAAATGCTTCTAATTATTTGTTCATTCCATGTAGTTGCCTCATTTCTCAACTAAATTCATTTCCGTGACCAGATCTTGGGGAGAGCTGTGTCAGTACACTTCTAACAATTTAAATTGCACTGAGCAATATTTTCTAAACAATCTGTCATTCCTATTAAAACTTCCTCTTTTTTTTTGCATTTGTGTTGAACTTCCAACTTTGATTTCAGATATTCCTTCCTTCTTCATATTTAAATGACTGCCACTGTTGTCCTATTAAGCTTCCAAAGAAAAATGAGCTTTTCTCTGTATAGAACTCAGGTTGGATATCAGGAAATTTTCTTCTCAGGAAGAGTGGTGATACGTTGGCACAAGCTGCCCAGAGAGCTGGTGGAGTCACCATCCCTGGAGGTGTTCAAGGACCTATGGATGTGTCTCTGTGTGATGTGGTTTGTAGGCACAGATGGGGTTGGTGGTTGGACTAGATGATCTTAGAGGTCTTTATCAACCTTAATGATTCTATGATTTTTTGAACTACTGAGGCTTCCTAGTAACATTTGCCAAGAGGAAACAGTAGAGGTTTAATGCTCTTGAAAATCATCACAAACCTTGGTTTTGTCTGTCTGATGCTGGAAATGCAGAATTTCACAGACTAACTTGTCAGTCCTGGCTTTGTAAACTGGTCTGGTGACCTAAAACATGAAATTGGAAAGGTAAAAAAAAAAAAAAAAATAGAGGTTATTTCACTCAATAATTTACAAAAGGCACTTGGATAGAGTGGAGCACCAAAGCCATGCAAAAGAGCTG